GGGAAGGAGCAGGAAGCGGAGCAGTTTGAGGAGGTGGAGGAAGACATATTTCCGAAGCAGACAGCGGCAGCGACATGATGATGATGTTGATGCTGATGATGATGGTGATGATGATGATTATGGTGATGCTGCTGATGATGATGACGATGCTGATGCTGATGATGATGATGATGCTACCGGTGATGATGATGCGGAGGGTGCTAATGATGATAACGATGGTGGTACTGATGGTGATGGTGATGGTGAGGGTTATGACTATGATGTAGCCGCCGGTGATGATGTTGCTGGTGATGATCAGGATTATGAGGGTTATGGTGGTGGTGGTGATGGTGATGGTGATGGTCTATGGCACGGTGTCGGCGACGCGTATGATGTTGATGTTGATGGTGCGGTTAATGACGATAATGTTGGTATTGACGAGACTGATGATGTTGTTGTTGAGGATGATGACGATGCCGATGATGATGACGAGGGCGATGCCGAGGCTGATGATGGCAATCATGATTTTGATGAGGGTGATGATTATGGTGCTGATGGTAATGGTGGTGGTGATGATAATGATGGGAATCATGATGAGGGTGATGATGGAAATGGTGCTGATCAGACTCACCATCAACATTACCATTATCAATGTGTTGCTGCTGCTGCGGGTAATCAGGATTTAGATGGAAACGATGTTGATTTTTAATTCACTGGTAATGGTGATGAGGAGGATGAGGGGGCGGAGGAGGGAGGAGGAGGATAGAGCTGGAGGAGGAGGAGATCGGAGAAGGGGGAGAGAGGCTGAGGAGGATTAGGTGGAGGAGGAAGAGGAGGTAGAAGGAAGGCCGTTTGCGGGAATTATCTGCCTCCCGCACTCGCCCCTGGCGCAGCGTCCCGCACGCGCGGCCGCCCTCGGGGGTTCTGGCCTGATCGCGCCGCCTCGCCATCGGTGGCGGGCAGCTTGCGCTTCACCCTGAACACCTCCATCCACGAGAGGTGAACCACCACGTGTGCATCTTACTCCACGGGCAAGAGATCCATCGCGTCTACACCTCCTTCGAGGTGAAGGCGACCATCAGGGTGTACAAGCACTTCGGCTCATCGAGGTGTGCACCCACGAGAATATCAAGGCTTACGAGACGTACCTACCTTACGCGGAGACACCGGCAACCATGCCGAGACCAAATGAGACCAGGAAGACATAGCCACGAACAGGTGCAGTCTGCAAGGGGGCGGGATACCTCGTCCGACGCAGATTGCGTCCACACCTGAACGACGTCATGGCTCTCGCTATGACTGCTCCCAAGACAGCGCGTTACCGCTGCGACGAACCGCGTGTCAGCCTGCGTCAGGACAAACGATACCAAGTACGACATTTCCGTGGACTGCGACACCGACCGCGACACCAAGCGCGATCAGTAGCACGAATACGACACCGAGTGCGCCACCAAGCTCGACGGCAAGGACGACAGCAAGCGCGGCGGCATGAACCTGGCCGCGGCAGTCTTCGAGCCGACTCAGACCATGATCGTCCTCCCAGGCGAGAGGACACTAGTGTTAAGTCGGGCCTGTCCCTCTACAGGAGGAATAAAAAAAGAAGTCAAACAATAGTCGGGGGACGATTTGTTCAGCATGTTTTGGCCATTCTGGGGTATTTTTGAGGGAATTTTGAATTTTTCGTCCAAGAACCCCCTGTGGGGGGATAGGCCCGACTTAACACTATTGGGGCAGCCTGGCGCATCCTTTCTCACTTGCCGGGGCCAACGCGGATCTCGACGCCCAGCGGTTTAGTTGCAGCGGCTTCTCGAGCAGCTGAGACCACCAGGGCTTCTCCGAACACCCGGAATACGTTTTTTGTTTTGTGACCAGAAGCGCCAGGTTTACGATTCTGTGTGCAAGTTCGCCGTGGTCGACCACTGGCACGAGCCCAGGAAGGCCGAGGGGGCCGACAAGAGGGCAGAGGAGGTCCGGGAGGCAGGGGACGTCAGGAAGTATCAGGAGACGGGGCGGGCTGCTCAGGCAAAGGCGGCAGAGGATGCCAGGAGGACAGGGGAGACTTTCCAGGTGGACGCCATGAGGACAGATGAGGCAACGACGCCAGAGTAGGCCAGGAAGACGGATGAGACCCGGAGGGCCGAGGAATTCTGGAAGGCAGAAGGAATTTGGACTGATCAGGAGGCCAGGAAGGTTGCTGAGACTAAGAGCGCAGATGAGGCCTCGGAGGCCAAGGAGGCCTCGGGAGCTCAGGAGGGCTGGAGGGCTGCCGAGGCCAAGGGAGCACAGGAGGCCGCCCAGGCAAAGACGCGCACTGGGGGCCAAGCAGGCAGAGGAGCACAGGAAGGCAGAGGAGGCCGAGAGTGCAGAAAAGGAGTACATGATTGAATCCAGGAGCCGCACGAGTAGGAGCCTGACGCCTTCGAGGTGGCCGACGCAGCGAGCGCGCGAGGCTCACCTCGCGCGGCGCCCTGCCATCGAGAGGCGGACGACTTGCCTCGAGGCACGTCGATCCGAGGCAACCAGAGAGGAGGGTTACGACGACCTGGCCGCGGAGGCCCAGAAGGCAGGCGAGGCTGAAAGGGGCAGAGGAAGTCAGGAGGCCAGGGGAGGCCAGCAGAAGCTGCGGAGGCCGGGCAGGTGGAGGCGGGCGAGGGCGCCGAGGAGGCTCCGAAGACGGAGGAGTACCAGCGAGCAGCGGAAATTGCCGAAGGGAGAGCAGAGGCACCCCGGAAGACAGAGGAGGGTACTGCCAGAAAGGCAGAGGAGGCCTGGAAGACACAGGAGGACGGGAAGATTGCCGAGGACACGGGCAGAGCAAGCCGATCAGAGAAAAGAGTTTCTATTCAGGAAGGTACGGGATACCAGGAAGAATGCGGAGGAGGGCAAGATGGCGACCGAGGACCCCAAGATGAGGCACACTTCCAGAACACCGAAGAAGGCCAGGAATGGCGCAGAGCTCAGGAAAGCTGATGACGCCAACGTGACAGAGGAGGAAACCACGGCTGACGAGACCAGAGAGGCCGTTGCCAGAAACAAAGGCAATAGAACACACCCGAGCCATGTACTACGTCATCCTCCACCAAGTCGGCTCGGATATAGAGTACATCGCCAGTCAGGTGGAGCACTACGGGAACAAGACGGCGCATTCGGAATGGGTCCAATAACGAGGTCCGAGGTACATCGTGGAGGACGACGGCGAGGACGATCTGGACAGGCACGGCACCAGGAGACCCCGCTGGAGCCGTGGAACTCCATGCGCCACCAGGGCTCCTTCCCAGGAGGACACGAAAAACGATGCTACGTCCCCCTCCCAGCCCGAGCGATGAGAGAGAGGATGACGAGGAGGAGGAGGAAAACATGGCCGCTCGCTTGCCGGCAGAAGAGGAAACTGTGGTGGAGGGTGAGCTATATACATAGAGAGAGAGAGAGAGAGGAGGAGGAGGCGAATGAGGAGGTGACGAAGATGAAACACGAGGGTATTAAGGAGGAGGGAAATGCAGAAGGACGCCGAGCACAGCCCGGGCGAGAGCAGCGACGCGTGCGACGACTTCCCCACGCTGGCATCGTCGCTAACCAACCGCTATTCGCGCGTATTCGGAAGACTGGGCTACTAGGACATCGCGACGCACGAGAGCTACGAGGAGATGTCGTTCCAGGTCCAAGGCGAGGCCAGGAAGGAAGGGGGGGCCAGGGTAACAGAGGATGCCGAGAAGACAGAGAAAGTCGAGAATACAAGCAAGGCCGCGAAGGCAGGAGAGGAGCTCTCGGATACCTACCAGGACAAGTAGGGGAGCGATCTCCGGAATCGGATGCGCACCATCGAGGCTTTTTCGACTACGGGCCACATTATCTACATGGAGTGCCGCCAGCGCGTTTCCCTCGCGCGCCGCCTGTGCGACCGTCTCTGGCAGCGGCCCTGCATGCGCTACCACGCGATCTTCGCGATGATCTTGGCCCCCTGATCGCCCGCCCCGACGGCGCCTCCTCGCGACGATTTCGACCTCCCCCCTCCTGTCTGATCTTATCGCCTGTGCTCTCTTGTTGCTGGTGCTTGTCCTGCTGGCTCTCGCCCTGACTCCTCGGTGCAAGCGCGTGCTCGAGCCCAGCAGTTCGAGGGGGTGGGCTGGGGGGGCGCGGGCGCGCATGTGGCAGCCCATCGCTACCCGCTGCCCACCGCCCCGAGTCCAATCGTACCCCGTTCCCTTCACGCCGTCCTTGCCCTTCGTTGGTTCCGCCCGCCCTCCCTTGCGCGAGTTGCTGCGAGACGCGCCGTTGACGAGCCGCCCTCGTCCTCTCGCGGCGGTCGACTCGACGTCTGCGGGCCCGGCCCGCTCGACGGCCGGCGACGTGGGCCGCCGTGACGCGGCGAAGCCTCCCCCACTCCTTCCCGCCCCCTCCCCCTTGAGCGAGTGAAGGCTTGGAGGCCTAGAATGGGCACCAACACCAACACAGGGGGTTGCCCTCACAGGGGGAGGAGGATCCCAGATTTCGGTGTGGGTGGTAATGCTTCGGCCACCGTGGAAGCCAGAATATGACCGCCATCACCGAGATCGGGATCTTTCTCCCTCGGTGGAGGCACACCGCCGATGCTGGTGTCTGTACCAACCTCTAGGCCTGCGAAAGGTGTTTGGTTGACCAATCCCTCCTCTCTCTCTCCGCCCATTTGGCAGATCCTGTCGCCAGCGTGCGGAGGTGCCGCTACCGTGGCTCGTGTCGGGCGCTCCGCGGCGCGCGCCGGCCGCGGCGGTGGATCTGGGATCGCCGCGTGACGTTGCGAGAGGGAGAGGGGGGAGGAGGAGGAGGAGGAGGAGGAGGACGAGGAGGAGGAGGAGGAAGAGGAGGAGGAAGAGGAGGAGGAGGAGGAGGAGGAGAAGCAACGAGGAGGAGGAGGAGGATGAGGAGGAGGAGGTGGAGGAGGCGGAGGAGAAGCAACGAGGAGGAGGAGGAGGAGGTGGAGGAGGAGGAGGAGGAGGAGAAGCAAATAGGAGGGGGAGGAGGAGGAGGACGACGGCGCGTGCCAGGTGCGGGGAACGTTCCGCGCTGAGCACGCGGAACCCTGCAGCCCCGTGTGCAGGCGGGGGCCCGAGGGTTTCGCCCTCGTCGTCGTCGTCGTCGCAGTCAGGTCAGGTCTGGTGGTCGGGCGTCTTCGGCGCCGCCCTCTTCGACGATGTCGCCCTCGTCGTGTGTTGATTTTCCTATGCGTGTTCGTTTCCTCGTTTTGATATTCATGTAACATGAATATTAGTGATACGAGTACTCATTACAATGAAAACATGAATCATGTTTTCATGGTAGTGATTATTCGTATCACTAACATTAGTATTACTATTATCAGCCGTAGCAGTATTCTTGTTAGTATCATTGTTGTCGTTCTTAGTATTGTAATCCTTATCATTCGTGTTCTTGGTATTCTTATAGTTATTCGTATTCGTACCGTCCCTCTCATCCTCTTGCCCCCTCCCTGCACCCTCCTCGTCGTCGTCCTCGTCATCCTCCTGCAATTGTTGGCACTCCGCCCTCCTCCACAAGAGGTTCGTTTCCATCTTCTTCTGCTCTTCCTCCTCCTTCTCCTCCTCCTCCTCATCCTCCTACCCCTCATTTGTCCTAGCCACCTCCTCGTCCTCTTCCTTCGCGTTCTCCGCTGCTGCTTCTTCCCCCGTTTACTTACCCTCTTCTCCCTGCACCTCCCCCGAAACAAGTTCAACTTTGCCCCAGCGATCTGAAAGCACGACCTAACTCATGCGGAATGGTGCGAGAACGTTCTTTTCGACGCACGAACATCAGAAGCCAAACTCGGTGGCGCTGTTGATTGATGCGGATTATTGCAGCATTCCGTTGCGAAACACTTCCTGACGCAACTGCGGACTTATGGGCACGTGACTCGGAGGTATGTATTTGCTGAGCCAAAGAGTCTAGAGAACTCGTCTTGACGATCTTTCATGGCCCAATACAGTCTCGGATTCAAGGCGGTGGCCAGGAATTCAGGTCCCTTGAACGATCTGAACGACGAGGCGATTAAACAGACAGTTTACTAGCTTCTTCAGTCTCGGTCTGCAGATGCCATTGCGTTGCTTTCCAGCGATCAAGACTTTCTCCCTCTGGTTCGTGACGTTTTAAAAGGTGGGCGGCAATGTTTTGTGTGCTGTTCAGACGTCAGGCCCGGAACAGGTGCTCGATTTGAACAATCTGGTGCGCAGATTATTTTGCTTCCAGGTTGTGGATCTGATTACCAGAGTGGTTGTCGAAGATCGTAGAGGTGCGTCATGCAGACGGCTCCAGGAGCATCGAGAGGAATCTCGAGCCGTACGTCAAGCAGTCAGCAGATGACAGGGCGGACATGGTTTTGATCCCTCAGAGGCTGGAACCGTTGTCATACCGTTTCAGTCAAGAGGACCCGATAATCCCTTCCATTGCCAAGTCTTGGGTCATAAATCAACTAGGCGACCTGCCAGTCTATCCAACAATTCAGGCGGCCAGATCTGCGGGAAGGGTGCTGCGGGAGGATGGGCGACAGTGGTTGTCAAACGTTGTGCCGCTGACATTCGTGCTTCCAGGAGCAAACGCATCGATTGGCAAGAAGAGGCTTGAAGTTTTTGGAAACAAGACAGCTGCGAGCTATGCAGTCGGAGGAGGTCCATTTTATCCTCAAGGACTGCACCAACCTACCAGACAAGTTGCTTTTAAAGCTTGGCTATGTGGATGCCGATCAACATCGCATTCTGGAGGAGGTAGTACATGTCTTCATGGATATCACTCGCAACCAGCGCGAGTTTCGTAAAGCAGGAATGCACATAGACAGTTCGGACAGCCGTCGTCACAAGCTCGAACAGATCCGACAGCTCGCTTTATCAAGCGTAAGCACTGGCATGCTTCAAGTTCCTCGTGACGGTGCCGTGCGACAGTATCTTGTTGCTGACGGCTTCGTACAGCGAGAAGTGTGCAGTGGCTGACTTCGTCAAATCTGCCAGGCTCACGCCCTGCCGGACATATCACGGACTTGTAAACCAATGTCTCGACATCTACGAACAGATGCGTATGCCGAATAGCAGAATGTGACGACCAGCCTTGCATTCATGCTAGATTCGTTATGTGTTTTGTCGTGTCGTTTTGGCAAGGATCTTGTTGCAAGCTGAGAATTTGTCCAACACGACAGAGAGATCTTGTTTGCTGCCGAACGCACAGGGGCCAGGTGCTACTCTGATTGAATCGTTGGCCCGTGCTGGGTGTCTTCCTCACCAGGTGTTGGGAATCAGCACTTGTATCTTGTAAGTTGGCAGCATGTCTGCAGGCCCATGGCCGAATAACTGCGCAGAATTACTAGGCTGAGGACAGGTACTGGTCAATGATGATCAATTGGCCCTGCATTGCGATCCCCTTGGCGAATTTTAGCGCATTTCAGCGATAATGTTTAGCCAATTCCAACCAGTGATTCGGATCAAAATCAATGCCATGGAATTCAGTAGCTTGATTCTGGAGTCCTTGTCGTGCGTTGGCTGCCAGGCTTGATTCACGAGCGCAATGGCGAAGCGCGCGTGGAGTTTCGCTTTGGTAGCACATGCTTGCTCAGTCCAGGATTGAGCGCACGAGCAAGAACGACGTGCTTCTGCTCCTCTGTTTCGAGTCGGTGCCTGGACCTCTCAACTCCATCCCTGGGGCCAGTTTTCCGTCGCGAGTCGTTTGTTTCGTCCGCCCCTGGTCCCGCAAACCGGCCTCAAGGGCCGAATGTGCTCAAAAGCTGCGGGCTCGATACCTCCGAGTCGCTGAACCGGGGCGAGCGAGGGGGGGAGCGAGAAGGAGAAGGCGAAGGCGGCGGGACTTTTCAGAAACCCTCGCGCCTTCAGAGAAGCGTTCTGCGTCTTCGGGTAAGGCTCAGGAACCTTCTCAGAAGGCCGGGGGGACTTCCGAGCCTCCTGAGAAGGCCTTCTCCTTCTCGCTTCCCCCCCCTTGCGGCTCGCCGTCGACTGAAGGTCTGCCCCTCCCCTCCCGCTCATCCCGCCCCCCCTCCAGCGATCCCAGGGCTCATGGTGCGGCATCCCAGAGCTCCAGCGACGCGGTGCTTGAGCCCCAGGTGTTTCTCAGCGATCTCGGCCTCTCGGGCCCGCCGATTGTCGGGCCCCGGGGCAGTCAAGCAGGGCTCCGGGTCCAACGATCACCTCGGGGGGAGAAGTCGGGACCTCGGGGGCCGCGCACTTAAGAGCACCACGTCGGCGGATCTCAGGGGCCGCGCATTTCAGAGCACCACGTCGGCGCATTTAAGAGCACCGGAGTCCTAAGCCCCATCTGTTTGCGGCATGTCCCGAGCTGCCCTGGGGGCCCCTGCCTGGCGCGTCCCCCGCCCCAGAGATCTCCGGTGGCTCGAGGCCCACGCGCCAGAGAGGGTTTTTTCTCGCTGTTTGCTCGCCGCTTCTCCAGGCCCCACGGGCAAGGGACGGTTGGAAGCAGGAAGCGCGCAGCCACCACCGCCTGGGGGGGGATTCGGGATCAGCTGGCGGGATCAGCGGGCGTGCGGGAGGCGTGCGGGAGAGCGCCCAAAAACTGATCACCACCGCCACCACCGCCGCTGACCACCCGCTGCCTCCACCCTCCACAGGCGGTGGACAAGCGACCCCTGGGCAAGCGACCCCGGGGGAAGGCGTCGAGAGACCCGGCCCCGACGACGGGTTGTCGACCTGACGCCGCAGGTTTCAGGCTCTCTTTTTTTGTTTCCTCTCTCTCTCTCTCTCCCTCTCTCTCTCTCTCTCCCTCTCTCCCTCTCTCTCTCTCTCTTCCTCTCTCTGTCGGTCGTGGTCCCCCCTCCGCGCCGTCCCATGGGCATCGGCCTCCGCGCCCTGAAAGCTGCTGCCGCCGACCCCCGAAAGAGCAGTGCCGATCCGGCCACGCGGGGCGGTCTCAGCGGCCTCTGGGCGGCGCTCCCCTCCAGGACCTTCCCCCCTTTTCCTCCCCTCATAACCTTCGGATGCGGCAAAGAGGGGGATGGTGACTACGGTCAGGGGGTTTCGTTAAGCGTGTACCATCTACGGTGGTGGCCCGGCGTGGTCGGTACACGCTAAACGAAAACCGCGTGACAGGTACACGCTAAACGAAGACGCCGAGTTTTGGATTGCACGCTGAACGCCGAGCCGATCCTGACACGCTAAACGCCGACCCTGCTTGGCGTGTACGCCCACTCCCAAGTGGTACACGCTAAACCAAACCCCCTGACCGTAGGGGGGTGGTGGATATCCTGGCGGGGGCCATGACATTTCCCCAGATGGCCCCCCAGCTGGGCCGCGCACATGCCGCCGGCCATGATGTGCACCCCCCCCTCTTGGACACCCCCCTCTTGGCCGCTCCCGAAACCTCTGAGGCACGCGTCTCGCACCTGCGTGTTGTCCAGGCGCGCCAGATGTCTGAGGCCACGGCCTTGCCCGCCTGGTATGAGCCAGGTCCGGACCGTGTCCGCAGCGGTGGGTCGTATCGTATCGTCTCGGCCGCTCACCCAGAAGAGGCAAGCTCAGCAGCCACCGCGAGACATGTCCTGAAGTCGGCGGCTCGCGCCGCGTCGGCCTGAAGCGGCGACGCTGACGCGGGCGTTCAAGATCGAGGGCCGCCGCCGGCCTGGGCCAGGCCGGCCCTGGTCGACTTCCCCTGCTCGGCGGCAGTGGTCGCCCGAGGTGCGCGCGGTGTCAGGAGCCATCGTCCTCTGCGGCGCCGCCGGAGTCCGCCGAAGGCGTTTGGAGACCTCCAGAAGTCTCCAGGGAGGGGCCGCCAGCGGCCCCCAGAGGCCCCCAGAGGGCCTCCGAGAAGAGGCCCCCACAGGGCCGACTGCTTCTCGAGCAGAGGCAGCCGAAAGGACTCGAGAGCTCCCGAGAACCGCAGGGACCAGAGGCTGGAGGCAGGGGGAGGGGAAGCCGCATCGTCGGAGCTGCCTCCTCGCTCCGGTGCCTCGGCGCCCTGATCCTCAAGCTCCGAGGCGGATGCAGAGCTACAAGGGAGCCCCCGAGCTCGGCAGGGAAGCGTCACGACGCATGTGCTCCCGGTTGGCGGCGCCCAGTGGGCGGTGGCGGGGGGGGGGCGGGCGTCCAGCGAGGCGGCGGGCCTTCTAAGAATCGCAGGTTGATAGGCCTCCTATTGGGTCGGGCATGTCCTCCTACAGGCGGATTTTCGCCGAAAAACAAGGTACATGAAAAATATCCCCCAACGGTCAAAAAATATGCAAAAAATGCTCCCCAGACTATGTTTTGATTATCTTTGGATACTTTTTTATTTTTCGTCGAAAATCCCCCTGTAGGGGGACAGGCCCGACATAGACCTCCTACACTGACACGTCGATTAGCGAATGGGCCGTTTTCGGTTCGCGAGAGGGCGTCGCGGCCGTCATTTTCGCGGGTCCAGGTCCGTCGGATTCGGTCCTGGGCCAGTTTCACCAAAGGGAGGCTGTCTGCTAAGGGGAGGCTTGCCCACCGCCGAACGAAGGCAGGGCGGGGGGGCTTCTTGGAAGCCCGCCCGGCATCTACGAAACCTTCTGTTTAGAAGCCTCCGCGGCCTTCTTCACAGGGCCCTTACCTGGAAGCCCCGCGGCCTCCTTCAGCAGGCCCGCCCTCCTCGCGCATCGCCGCCTTCTGGGCGCCGCCAATCCAGCCTTCAGCCGGGCACGGCCCTCGACAGGAGAACTATTCAAAGAGAGTCAAGAATTCGTCAGGGGACGACTTCTGGACGACTGGTGGACCATTTTTGAACTGGACGATTCCTAAGGTTTCGTCCAAAATATGCGCGTGTAGGAGAACATGCCCGACCTAAACCCAGCCTTGCGAGCTCCTGAGATGGGGCCGCGTATTACCAGCCTGGAACATATCCCTATCTCTATGCTGGGCACCTCCTCATCACGATGCCAATCTTAGGGATTCCCTTATTTTTTGAGGGCGGATCCCTAAGATTGTCATCGCCTTTTGGCGTGTCAGTCTTAGGGATAGGGATACGTTCGAGATTGGGCCGCGTATGGCCTCTGCGGCCCGGAGGCTCCCCGTGCGAGGCCATGCCGAGGATGGCCTTCTCTCGCTGGGGGCCCGCGCGTGTGCGCGCGCGCGCGCCGGGACGAGGTGGACGTGCGACAACCCCGTGTGCGAGGCGCCCCTTCGCACCAGCCCTCGGCCTCCTCCTCCTCACTGCCGCCGCTGGCCTGAGCCTCGTCCCCCGGTCTCGTCCTCCTCTCTTTCCCTTCTGACCTCTCCAGCCCAGTCCTCCTCCTCGTCCACTTCCTCGCCCTCCTTTCCGCCCCCTTCTCCTCCTCCTCCTCCTCCTCCTCCTCCTCCTCCTCCTCCTCCTCCTCCTCCTCCCCCTCTTCTTCCTCCTGCTTCTCCTCCTGCTGCTGCTGTCTGTCCTCTTCCTCCTCCTCCTCCTCCTCCTTCTCCTCTCCCTCCTCCTCTGCCTCCTTTCCAATGTTTCGTTTAGTTTTTTACAGTGATTGTTTTGTTTATTCTGTAGCGTTACGAGTGCTTGGATTTTGAGAGCGCCCACAACGTCTTGTGCGCGCAAACAACAGCAAGCAGTGGTTAATGATACTCCAGATCTCGTATTAAAAGGGAGGGGGTCTGGACCCTCCAAGACAAGCCATTTCAGACCTCCCCCGTGGGAGAACCCTCCAAAACATGGTCCCAAGACCCCCCCAGGCCCTCCAAGATAGCCTGGAAGAGACCCCCCCCGAAATGAGACCCCCCTCCCTTTATTACGAAATCTGGAGTAGCCTACCTAGACTTATCTTGTGACTTACCCAACCCACTTGCAGTAAGTGGCAAGATAAGCTTGCCCATACTAGCATGGCTGATGGCAAAGCAGGGAGTGCCATTGGTTTTGCGAGCGATATGAGAAGCGCGCGCGAGCGATGTGGCGCGCGATTCACAGGACCGCAACAGAAGGACGAGGACTGAGGCCCCAGGCTCGAAGAGGAAATCGGAGTGGGAAAGAGGGGGAGGGGGGAAACGACGGAGGGGGGTCGAACACTTGGCGCTACATCAGCATGGAGACGGCGGTGGAAGGAGCAAGGGGGCCACAACGAAAGCGGCAGGATGATACAAAAGATGGTGGCGATCCTTTCCCAACGGCTCGCCGGACGAGCAGCGCGGCCCGCGCCATGCCTCTCTGGCGTTCCAGGTGTGGTCAGTTGTCCATACCTGTTTCAAGGGGCGAGCGAACCAGAACTCGCCCTCGAGTCTTTGAAGCCCCCCCTCTTCCTCCCTCTCTCGCTCCCTCTCTCCCTCCCATCCCGAGGGGGGCGAATCCGGAACATCCCCTCTTCCTGCTGCTCCTCGCCCTGTGGGCCCCCTGCCCCGCCGCGCCTCTCCATCCCTGCCCCCCCCCCTTCCCTGGAGATAAGGTGTTACTGTGGCCTGTTGGTTTTTAGTGCTGCCCGGTGGGTGTTAGTGTGGCCAGGGCTCCTCCGGAGGGTATTAGTCAACGAGTACGGTGAAGGAGGGGGGGGAGTCTCCAAAGTCCAGGCCTCCCAGACGGGGTCGGAGCAGACCGGGCCGGAGGATCGCGCCGCATCGCCGATGCATCGCCGATTCGGCTCGATGTGGAGCCCGACTTGCTTCATGTCGACGTCGCCGGTACGTCGCCGACGTCGACGATGCATTGCCGGTGTATCGGCGATGCATCGGCGATGCATCGCCGATGTGTCGGCGATGCGGCGCGATCCTCCGGCCCCAACTACTCGGACCCCATCTAGGAGGCCTCCGAGCCTCCTCCTCCTCTCCCTTCCCCTGCCCCCCCCCCCCTCCCTGCCCCCTCCCTCCCCTCCCTGCCCCCCCCCCCCTCCTCCTCTTCCCTGCCTCCTCCGCCCCCCCCCCTTCCCTGGGCGTGCGCATATGGGCCCGCACTGCCCGTGCCCTGTGGGGGCCCAAGGAGGGCCAGGCTCCTGGGGCGGCGGGGGGCGCCGGCCGGGCACCGATGAGAGAGCGGCGGGCCCGGCCCAGCCAGACCTCTCGACGCCCCGAAAGCTCAGGAGGGGGAACAAAAAAAAACACACCGACACGATGCATCGTCGATGCCCAGGAAGATGTGTAAAACATATGAGAAGTTTGGGGGGGGGGAAGACGAGACTCCCCCCAAATATTGAAACATAAGGGGAATCCTGTTATGTGTGTGTGTATTTATCTGTGTGCCCCAGGGCCCCTTTTCAAAAAAACAGCTTGTTTGGTCTGCGGGTCGAGAGCGAGCCTCTTCCGGTTGAAAGCTGGGCGAGCCACGCAAAGCTCTGATTGGGGAGAGAGAGCACAGGCGGGCGGGGCCTCAGGCGGCCGGAGGGCGGGCCGGGGTGCAGGCGGTGCCGAGGAGCCTGCACAGGAAAAGGAACGCCTAGGAGGAAAAGGAACGCCTAGGCACAATTCATCGTCGATGCCCAGGAAGATGTGCAAACATGTGGGGAGTGGGGGGGGGAGACGAGACTCCCCAAAAAGATTGATAAATAGGGGGAATCCTGTTATCTGTGTGTATTTATGTGTGTGTGTGTGTGTGTGTGTGTGTGTGTGTGTGTGTGTGTGTGTGTGTCCCAGGGCCCCTCTTCAAAAAAAACAGCGAGGGGCGGAGGCGTTGGCACGGTGTGCGGCCCCTGTGTGGGCCCCGCGCGGGCCTCCTCGCGGGGCCGCCGAGGAAGTGGCGCACGGGGGGAGCGGCGGGTCCCCGGGGGAGAGTGGTCGCGAGGTCGGGGGCTTACAGGGCCGTTCTTAATACATGCTCCGCGTGCGGATCATGTATTAAACATGCAGGGATTCAGTACTAAAAGCAACGATGAGTGCATGCATACATTGATTCATACATTGTTGATACATACAAAAAAAACATGTATTAGAAACTGCCCTGTAGTGGCCCCGGGAACTCTGCACGAACGAGATGGGCACGGAAAGAATGGGTACAATGCCCAACAGCGGATCCTGCTCATTCTGAACAGGGCTCGCTGTCCACGCCGCCGCGGCCTGTGTTCAGTTGAGGCAGAAGGCCGCCTGCCCAGCAGCGGCCGCTGTTGGTTCGGGACATCATTTGCTGTTGGGCATGGTGCCCATTCTTTCCGTACCCATTTCGGGCGTCCAAAGGAACGGCAGGGCAGTTTTTTCACCGTTTCCGAAAAAGGGTCCCTTGATAATTGAAACGGCAACGAAAATGGCGACCGGAGACGGCAGCAAAAACGGCTCCAGAATTGGAACCAAAGCGGGGGAACCCGTGAGAAAACGGCGACGGAACCGGCAACAAAAACGGCGTCGGAACTGGCAACAAAAACGGCAGAACGGAACCGGTAAAAAAAACGGCCCTGTCGTTTCCAGGGCCCACTAAGGTCGGGTGCCCGTGCCTCGAGAGAGTCGAGGCGCCAGGCGTCTGGGAGGAGGAGCGGGTAACCCTGGCGCTGCCCTTTTGCCCCCGCCGCTCTCCCCTCCCCCTCCTCCTGGTCCGCGTCTGTGCGGCACGTGCTTCCGCGTCGTCCCTTCCCTCCCCCCCTCCTGCCGGCCGGGAGGTCCAGCCCGTGGGCGGCCGGAGTGCGGTCGGCAGGCCAGGGGCTGTCCAAGATGGCCCCGAGACTCCCCAGGCGGCTTGCAAGAGGCAAGCGCTCCAGTTTTGAAGCGCGGCCGCTCTGCGGCGCTGCTGGTCGCCTGGCCGTTTGGGCCGCGCGCCTGGAGGAAACCGACGCCTGGGGGGCCCTCGTCGCCGCCGTTGGATTCGCTTCGGGGTCCTGGTCAGAACGCGCCCCCGGAGAGGTCCGGGGAGGAGCGGTCTGGGTACGCTGACGTCGGGCCTGTCCCCCTGCACGAGGAAGATCCAGAAATCGTCAACCAGAAAAAAAACATAGTCCAGGGGCGATGTTTCTGGTAGTTGTCTCAATGATTTTTGCGTATTTCGTCCAAAGTCCGCCTGTACGAGGACATGCCCGACCTCAGGGTGCGCCTCGTGGTCTCCCCAGCGGGGGTGGCCCCCGAGCCCTGGCAGGGGTGGTCGAGGAGCCGCGGCCCACGGTTTCGTCGTCGAGGACTCCGTCCTCCTCCTCCTCCTCCTCCTCCTCCTCCTCCTCCTCCTCCCCCCCCTCCTCCTCCTCCCCCGCCTCCTCCTCCTCCTCCCCTCCTCCTCCTCCTCCTCCTCCTCCTCCTCTCCTCCTCCTCCTCCCCTCCCCCTCCTCCTCCTGCCTCCCCCTCCCTTCTCCTCCTCCCCCTCTCCTCCTCCTCCGCCTCCTCCTCCTCTCCCTCCTCCTCCTCCTCGTCCTCGTACTCCTCCCCTCCTCCTCCTCCTCCTCCTCTCGCTCCTCTTTCCTCTCTCCTCCTCCCCCCTTCCCCCTCCTCCTCCCCCCCTCTCCTCCTCCTCCTCCTCCTCCTCCTTCCTCCTCCTCCTCCTCCTCCTCCTCCTCCTCCTCCTCCTCCTCCTCCTCTCCCTTCAACCTCCTCCCCTTCAACCTCCTCCTCCTCGGGTCGCCTACAGCCCCGGGGGAAACCGTCCACCCAGGACCACCAAGATTACATCGGGCACGTCCCTCTACAGGAGGAAGTATTCCCAAATTGTCAAAAAGTCGTCTGGGGACGATTCTGGGCGTATGTTTGGATATTTGTTGAGCAATTGTTTGATGATATGTTCCGTTCTTCGCCCAACATCCGCCTGTAGGTGGACACGCCCGACGTGGACACCAAAACCAGATGCCAGGATGACCCGATCTCTGGAACCCGCTCGCCCGCGCCTGCGCCATGGCCAAGCGTGCAGCGCCGCGCACGTCCAGCTGTCCCAGCGTTCTTCGCAGACGGCGCCGGCAGTTTCGGGCTCGAGTTGCCCACCCGATCCGACGGCTTGCGGCGCTGGTGGTCCTGCGTGCGCCGCTCCAGGGGCAGCTCTGCTCCTGCCCGACAGTCGCACCGGGCATGCCCGAAGCAACACCGATGCCCCTGACACCACGAGGCTCGTCGCCTGGACCCCTGACCCCACCCTATTCGGGTATGGCCAGGACCCCGGGTAAGGGGACCCGGTTAGTGGTAGGGCCCCGGGGTTTCCGAATTAGCCCTTCGAAGTGGCCAGAACCACTAAACCAGGTTTGCCATATAGCGTGTGTTTTTCGGGTGACGGCAGTTCCGGTTCGTGGAAATGGGACGGGGGGGCGCCCCCGGTACAGATCCCTAAACCAGGTTCCAGTAGACCCAGCTCTGCCAACGCCCGACCTATCTCGGTCTCCCGGCCGGCTCCCTCCGACTCTCCTGGGCAGGTGCCGCCGCCCCCCGTGCCCCGTCCCCCTCCTCCTGCTGCTGCTGTTGCTCGTGTGCCCCTGTCCTCCCTGCCGCCTGGCTCCCTCTCCCTGCTGGTGCTGCTGCTGTCCACGCGTCCGCGCCGTCCTGGTTCGTGTTCGCGCTGGGTAAGATCGACCGACACCGTGCTTCATTGCAGGGGGGCGCATTATGTTTGCACGGGTTGGCGCTTTTTGCGATTGACCGTTCAGCTGGGCATAGCTGGCGGTCGCTTGATGCGTGTGGTGGTGGTGGGGAACCCCCCAAAAACGTTGCCGCCGACCCCTGGCCCCAGCCACGAGACACGACGCGGAGAGAGCTTGCTGGTTGTCCGTGCGCACGCGCACGCGTCATACATGGGGATCGGGAGTGCCCCCGCCCAAGCTTCGCCAGTCCGGGGGGGCATCATGTAGATGCAAAAGATGGCACTGGCACGGGAGGAGGCCCGTAGAGAGCACTGTCTGGTAGTTTCCTCTCTCTCTCTCTCTCTGTCTTTCTTTCTTTCTTTCTTTCTTTTTCTCTCTCTCTCTCTCTCTTTCTCTGGGAGCGTCGGCTTCACTCGCTGCAGACACTTTTCAGATGTGTCGGCTCTCGCGCTGCTTCGTTCCTTGAGTTTCTTCCTGTGTTCTCTTCCCTCCCTGCGGAGGAGCTCCGGCTAGCCCCGGTGGAGGAGTTCCGGCTAGCCCCCCTTGAGTTTCAAATATGTCGGCTTTCGCGTTGCTGCGTTCCTTAAGAGTCTCCTCCCTCGGTGGAGGAGTTCCGGCCACCAGCTGTCCGCCGCCACTGCCTGGCTCCTCCTCGCTCATCCCCGTAGTAAGCTCTGTAATGCCGCGCACCCTGGTCTTGGGAGCATCGGCGATCGTGATCGTGAAATTTATCGAGAAATCGTGAGATCGATACTGAGATCGATCACGACAGATTTTGGGCTGGGGGTGCCCCGCCGTGGCTGGGGGTGCCCCATCGTGGTGTCCCGATGGTTTCTCGTGAGATCTCTTGTGAGGTCGATTATGAGATCCCTGATAAGACCGATGCTGGGATCGAAAGTGATATTGATAGTGGGATCGATCGTGCGAACGATATGGAAAACGATAGTGAGATCGATGATGGTGAGATCGATTGTGAAATTCGTGAGATCTAGGGCGCCATCTCATCGCCATCACAGTTATCGCAGTTGTTGTCAGTGGGTTTGCCTCCCTCTCTTCGATCTTCTTGTCACCCGAAGGATGGTCATATAGGTGAGCATGAGGTGTATGCTGTGCCGTGCAACCTACGCCGTGCAAGCTAGTTCGCATAAGCCATTGTTGTGCAATATATGTGTGGCGCAAGCTACGTGGTGTACGGCATGTGGTGTCATAAGATAGCTGCATGGTGCAAGCTCAGTGGTGAAAACGAGGTTGTAACAACTACGTCGTGCAAACTACTGAGTGTTGCAGGCTATGTGGTGGAAGCTGTGCGGCCGCCCGCGGGGCGCTCAGGAGGCGCTCACGGGCGGTTACGATCGGGCACCAGGCGTAACCCCGGCGGAGCCACCCAGCGCACGGGGCGCCCACGACGGGCGGCCAAGGGCGGGCGTCAGGCGAAGCTCCGGCTGACACACCCAGCACACGGGGCGCCCACGAGGCGCCCACGACCAGCCACCAACGGGGCACCGGGTCAAAACTCGGCGGACCCGTCCAACGTCTTCGGTATCACAGGCAAGAACCTCTGAGCGCAAGCACCGTCCGGGTGATCTCATCACGAGTGATCACGACGATTGGCCGCGCCGACATGGCTCGGAGCCTGCGGGTTGACAGATTCAGGCCCTGGCCCCATGCAACTGGTGTTGTCCGACTTTCCGGGAGGGTCGAGGCGCAGGCCTTCGCTGCAATGCCGGGGGCGGGTCGGGCGGAGGCCGAATGGCATTTTTGAGGGGGCGCTGCCGGGCTCACGCCACGCAGTGCTTTGCCACTCTCAGGCGACGGGGGTTTCCGCCTCACGCCAGAGCTGCGGGCTGCGATGGAGCACAGCGGGGGGCCGCCGAGGGGGGCCGCGCAGAAGCCCGCCGCAGCACGGGCAGCAGCGTCCGCTCCACGCGCATGCTGCCGCGTCTGGGACACCACATCAGAAGCCACCCGAAGACACCAGAACAAAGATTCGCAATCCTCCTGGTGGTCCTCCCCCACCTCATCCTCCCCCTCCCTCTCGTGCCCTCGGAGGGTCTCCATGGCCTCTCCCAGGGCGCGCTCTGGCCAGGGTGTCGAGGCGGAGCCAGCCGTGGTCACGAGGGGCCGCCGCGGAGGCCACTGAAGCACAAGCTTCACCATCCCCCCGCCCCCCACTCCTGCTTCCCCTCCTTCACCCTCCCGTTCTTGGCCCCTGGAGGCAGAACATGCAACACCTGGCCTAGCCTCGAAGCTAGCCGCCGACGGCGACGGCAACGACGACGGCCAAAACGCTCACGACGACGACGCCGACGGCGACGGCGATGGCGACGACGACGACGCCGACAACGGCCACAATGCCGATGACGACGACGCCGATGACGACGACGCCGATGATGACGACGACGACCACGACGGCGATGGCGACGGCGACGGCGGCGGCGGCGACGGCGACGACGACGACGACGACGACGGCGACGACGACGACGACGAGGAGGACGACCGCGGAGGCCGTCTGCGCCCCCGTCTGCGAGCCGCCGCGCTGCGAGACGCGCTGCAAGCCGTTCGACACCTCCCAGTGCCACGACGAGTGCAGCAGGCCGCTGTCGTCTTTTGGCGGCGCCGGCAGCGTCGGCGCAGCCGGCGACAGCGACGAAACAAGCGACGACGGCGACGACGACGACGAGGAGGACGACGGCGTCGACGGCGACATCGGCGCTAACGGCGAGGAGGACGACGGGGGCGACGTCAACGGTGCCAACGCCGTCGACGATGGCGGAGGCGACGGCGTTTGCGACGAGAGCGATGCCGACGGCGACAACGACGGCGACGTCGGCGCAGATGGCGAGGACCAAGAAGACGGAGCCGACAGCGACGACGGCGTCGGTGACGACGACGACGCTGGCGACGACGACGACGACGTCGACGACGACGACGACGACAAAGACGACGACGACAAAGACGACGACGACAACGACGACGACGACGACGACGACGACGACGACGACGACGACGACGACGACGACGACGGCGGCGGCGGCGGCGGCGGCGGCGGATGCGGCGACGACGGCGACGGCGGCGGCGGCGGTGGCGGCCCGCGGATATCTCTAGTTGTTTGCATTTTCCGTCTGATGATCATTACATGGTGGCGGGACCACAAGCAGGCAGGTCTTGCACCGTGATGTGTCGATCCAGTAGCCTTCCCGCTCTGATGATAAATAGCAGGCAGGACGCCTCCTCCTCCCCCTTCTCCTCATCCTACTTCTTCTCATCCTCCTCATTCTCCCCCTCCTCCTCATCCGACTTCTCCTCCTCCTCCTCCTCCCACTCCTCCTCCTCGTCCTCCTCCTTCTCCACCTCCTCCTCCTCCTTTGGTGATACATGGGGGCGGGACCACGAGCTGGCAGGACTTGGACCGGGATGACTCGATCCAGCAGCCGTCCACCGAAGAACAAAAACCAGCGTAGACATAAACTTCTGGCGCTCCGCGCGGATTTCTTGGATCCGCGCTGGGGCCCCTGGCGGAGCCTCCGGCGCCGCCCCTGGGGCGCTCCGCTCGCCAGGGGGGTGGGGCCCCAGCGCAGATCCAAGAAATCCGCGCGGAGGATCACAAGTTTATGTTTTTGGCCGTTGTTTGGTTCTTCGATGGACGGCTAATTACTGGGTCGTTTCATCCTGGTCGAAGGCCTGCCAGCTCGTGGTCCCGCCCCCATGTATCACCCAAACGGGAGGAGGAGGATGAGGAGGAGGAGGAGGCGAGGGGGAGAGGTGGAGGAGGAAGAGGAGGATGAGGAGGAGGTGGAGGAGGAGGAGGGAGGAAGGGAGGAGGAGGTGGAGGAGGAGGAGGAGGGAGGGCAGGAGGAGGAGGAGGAGGAGGAGAGGAGGAGGGAAGGAGGAAGGAGGATTGAGGTGAGGAGGAGGGAGTGCGGGGAGGTGGGAGGCCGCCTGCCTGCCATGCTTTCATCGGAGCGGGCGGCTACTGCATCGACCCATCTCGTGCAAGGCTGCTTTTGGCCCTGGCACCAGGAGGAGGCAGGCAGGCAGGACTTCTCCCCTGAAGCATCGGGGGCGGCAAAAGGGGGGGGTGATGACTTGGGGGGTGGAGATCATGGCGGGGGCCATGGTATTTCCCCAGATTTCATGTCTCCTCTTCTCATTTCCTTACGTCCCTGGCCCCCCCGCTGGTTCGCGCACATGCCGCTGGTTATGATTTGCACCCCCCCCTCTTGGACACCCCCCTCTTAGCCGCTCCCGAAAGCAGGCAGGCCTCGTGCCGAGATCCAGCGATCCGGTTGCCTTCTCCAGCACGCCGCCGGCGCTTTCTGGGGCGCTCCGGCGAAGCCGCGGCGCCCAACACAGGCTCCAGAACCGCCAGATCTCAGAGGCCCTCCTCCTCCTCCTCCTCCTCCTCCTCCTCCTCCTCCTCCTCCTCTTCGTCCTCCTCCTCCTCCTCCTCCTCCTCCTCCTCTTCGTCCTCCCCCTTCTCCCACAGCTATGGTCACTCCTCCTCCTCATCCTCCTCCTGCCTCCCCGACGTGTCCCGGTCCGATTTCGGTCCTCCCCTGGCTCCGTCTACCGCAACCCTCCCAGACGGACAACTTCCCCCCCACCCAGGCCAGCCATGAGAGTGCGGCCTGTTGCCCAGACCCCCGGAACCCTGCAAGGCAGCTCGCATCAGATCCTTACAAAGTCAGACCCCTCCCTTTTATCACGAAGTCTTCCCTCCCCCCCACGACGACGACGCCGACGCCTACGCCGACGCCGACGCCGACGCCGACGACGCCGCCGCCGACGACGACGACGACGCCGCCGACGCCGACGCCGACGCTGACGCCGACGACGCCGCCACCGCCGCCGCCGCCGACGACGACGACGACGACGACGACGACGACGACGATGACTGTGCCGACGACGACGCCGACGCCGACGCCGACGCCGACGCCGACGACGCCGCCGCCGCCGACGACGACGACGACGAAGACGACGACGACGATGACGGTGAGGACGGCGACGGCGACGACGGCGGCGGCGGCGGCAGGGTGTGCGTTTGTTGGCGCTTCTTCTGCCTGTCTCCACGAGGCCTCCACGAGGCCTCTGTGCGGGTCTCGCAGGGACCGCCCCGGGGCGTCCGGGGGCCTCCGCAAGGGACCCTTGCCGCGGCCTCGGGAACGTGCCAGACCTCCAGCGCCCCGAGAGAGCACCAAATCGTTTCACATTCACCATTTTTCCCCCTCCTCCTCCTCCTCCTCCCCCTCCTCCCCCTCCTCCTCCTCCTCCTCCTCCTCCTCCTCCTCCTCCTCCTCCTCTTCCTCCCCCCCCTTAGCGTTCTCCCGTGCTCCTGGTTCTCCTCCTCGCTCCTCCCCGCACCATCTGTACGTACGTATGTATGCATGGATGCAGGCAGGTATGCATGGTGGTTTTGGGCGCTGGCCCGCATGTTTCGTGGACAGCGGCGGAGCGGTCCCCTGGGCGACGCCGCCCGGACCCTGAGAGGAGAGAGAGAGGGGAAGGGACGAGGGGAGGGCAGCAGCAGCAGCAGGAGGAGGGCGGGGATGTAGGAGAAGCGAAGTTGTCGGAGGTGTTGCTTCTTGGCCTCTGCGTGTGTCCGGGGGCCTCGGGGACCTACGGGTGCCGTTCCTCGGGCCCACGAGGGCTTCCAGGCACCTGTGGCCACGAAAGGCGCCATGAGGTGGTCAGTCCCTGCGTATTTCCTCGATGGTGGCCTCCATCGAGGAACGAATATCGTCATGGGCATAAACTTTGGGAGCTCCGCGCGAAGTTCCTGGGCCAGCGCTTGGGCGGTCCTGGCGGCGTCGGAGGTTCCGCCCCTGGCGCGCACTGCGCGCCAGGGAGGGCGGGTCCATCTCTGGTCCGAGAAATCCGCGCAGACCTGCAATTTTTCATGTTTATGTCATTGCTTGTTCCCCTGCACATGTTGGGCCAGGGGTGCCGTCAGAAAGCGACCCGCGACGAAAAGGCAGTCTTGGAGAATGGGGTCGAGAGGTCTAGGGGCTAGGTGCTGAAAATGTGCGACGCCCGAGGTCACGCAGGGAGGGTGCACTTCGATGTGTGTTCGCCGTCTTGGGCCCCATGGGGAGCGGCCCTCGTCGCCGTTTGCAGGGCCCGCTGCCGAATACTGGACTGAACCCGCATCAGGGGAGGCCCACGGGGGGTGGGGCCTGCAAGGGCAAGGGGTAGAAGGAGGAGGAGGAAGACCACTGGAAACCCAAGAGTCATCAACGATATTGGAATAAACCCTCCGTCCAAGCTCCCTCTTCATAGGCCCCTAACACGGTCCAGTTCCACTGAGGGAACAGCCGCGTTGGAAAACAATTGTTTGAAGACCCTGAATCACGCCACGACAATGCTCTCGGGACTTTAACGCCACGGATGGACCAGACTGTTGCGTCTTGACGATTTTGAACCGTGCCAGAACATTGTTCCTGAGAGTTCAACACGGCGAATTAACGTAATTGTTGTACCCTCATAATCCCGAATCCGTCCGGAACACCATTTTGGGTACGCTGATCATGCGAACTCTTGATTTTACATCTAGGTTTCTGAAAGGAATGATCGCGGCGCTCAGGCGAGAGCCACACATTGAAAACTGCCCGCCCTCAACACGTGAAGCTGTCTGGCAAATGTTTAAAATCAATGTGCGCGGCGCTGTGGCGAGAGCCACATTTTGAAAACGACCCGCCTTCAATCCGTGAGCCTCTGGTAACTGTTTAAGTCGAATGTGCGCGGCGCTCAGGCGAGAGCCACATTTTGAAAATCACCCGCCGTCCATCCGTAAACATGTTGTCGTCTTCAATTCCTCAGGGTCATACGTAGCGAGGAGGTCTTAGGCGAAACGCCCGGCCCCACCAAAACCCTGTTTCGGGGTGGGATGGGCAGGAGGGAGAAGGCGCGGACCATGAGGAAACCCAGGATGCGCCAGCGATGGCGCCCTCCCGTGCAGAGGCCCATCCTCACAGGGCCCCACAGGCCTTCCTCTTCGCCGCGAGGGGCGCCCCCTTGGAGACAGGCCTGCCGTTCACCCAGGAGGAGGAGGAGGGGGAGGAGGAGGAGGAG